CTTGCACGGCCGTGCGGATTTCACTTGTGCCCGTGCGTGCCCACGCACAATCCCGCACGGCCAGGCTGGTCACTTGCACGGCCGTGCGTGGCCACGCACAATCCCGTGCGTACCCACGCACAATCCCGCACGGCCAAACTGGTCACTTGCACGGCCGTGCGGGTTGTGGGTGTGCCCGTGCGACTTCCTCAGAACCTCGCCATGCGTCCGATCCTCGTCCAATCGACCTCAAACTCGCTCCCAAGCCTCCATTCACGTACTAGGACCTGAAATATCATAAACAAGCACAACCTAGCGTGAAATCGGCCTAAAACACGAGAATCAATACCTCAAACGGAGTAAGAGCAGGGGTAAAAACATGTGTAACTAACGGTCTATCAGTAACATAAAAATATAAATAATCAGATATGAGCATTCTGGCCAACTGACCGGGTTATAAGGTAAGAGTTATATAAATAATAACTATTCTCCACAAGCTCCATGTACTATCTTACGAAAAACTTCTCTTTTTAGTTTATAGAAAATAATTTATTATTATTTAGTTTATGTAGTGCCTTAATCATTAGGTACGACTCATGTATTACTTTTGTTTTTTTTTAATAATAATGAATTACCTTTGTTTAATTGATACATAAGAAATAACTATCCATTCATAACCTTTTACATAATATGTGTGGTTTAATAATGAAATCAAATTATAAAACTATCACATTTGTTAATATGTTATTCAAAAATTAACTAATTTTATAAAATCTTAGAGTAATGCAAATAACAAAAGCTTATGGTGAAACTTGGTAGAGGAGAGAGGATAAAAATTCTTGCCACTATTATAGAATTGTGTTTCAAAAATATTTTGTATTATGTGGTCTAATAATATATGGCAAAAAAATTCAGTCCCTACTTTTTTTTAAGGAACGATGCTGTAGGCTTTGGGATGGAGATGCTTGCGCTATTAATTATATATTATATTATATTATATAAATACAATAATTAGGTGAAATATTAGTTTATTTATTCATTATAAGATGAGTCATTTTCCCATTGGTCAATTTTCTGTTTTGGGTAAATAGTGTTTCTCATTTACACTCGACCAATATTTGTAACATTCCAACCTTTTTAACAAATATATTATTTGTTTTTAGTCAATTCCTGTACGATTTTGCTTTTAAGCATTATGAAGACTTTTTACGAGGTCATCCATCTTTACATTGCCACCACATTGAACAAGGTTGACTACTGAATTCATGAATCATGAATCTCTCTTGGGGTCGTTTGGATGCAGGTTTGTAACGAGGAATTTATGAGAGATTTTAAAAGAATCTCTCATTATGAAGGATTTTAAAACAATTCTCCATTTGGGAACATGAGAGATTGTAGACATTAGAGATTTGGAAAACCCAGAAGTGAGAGATTTCAAAATAGTTGATGGGGGCCAGCTAATTTGAAATCCCACATTTTTTCTTCTTTCTTTCCAAACTTGTCCTTCCCTTCCTCCCTTCTGCTTCCTCTCTTCGTGTACCCAATACCGGAAGCCTACCGCCGTCTTCGAGACCTTCACATCTCCAATCGTCTTCCAGAGAAGAGAAGCCATTGACATCGTCTTCCAGAGGTCTTCGTCGTCTGTCCATCGTCGAAGCCGCCACCCTCATCTTGAGAAGCCGTCGCCGCCTTTGCCAGAAGCTGCTGTCGTCGTCTTCCAATCGTCCTCGTCCTCTACCCATCGTCGTCGATCCAGATTCATTGGCGTTATCTTCTCGTCGCCGTCGTTGTCGCTATTGCAAAGGGTTTGGAGCCGATGATTAGGACGCTTCTGGCTCTCCTCCCTCCATCCCCGTCATCTTATTCTTCTTCTCCCTTTCCTCCCGGAGCCTCCTTCCCAATCCCTCACAGATCTGTGCTATTTTTTGCGCCGAAGATTGCAGATCCCAATTTTCTCAGAATCATTCCAGATCTGGTCGACTGTTGTTCGATTAAACCCTCCACACTATCATTCACTTCCGACGATCTTTTGCCTTCCCCGACGAATCAACTGCTCCAGTCTCTGGCAAATCCATTTCCGTCGTCTCCTCATGAGCATTCCAGTCGTCGATCTGTATTGATTTTCTGGGTTCTTCATTTCATCAGTTAGAGAGAAAGAAGGTGCAAAATTGTATTTTGCATTTTGTTCTTAAAATCCCAAATTTATAAACAAACAAGTGATTGATTAAAATTCTTCATATTAAAAACTTAGGTTGTTAAACTGTGCGATTGTGGGTAAAATCACTGATTTTAGAAAACTCTAATCCAAACCACCACTTGTAATTTGTTTAGGTAAAATTTGGATAAATTACAATTTTCCCGGGTAACTGGCTAAATTACAATTTTGATTGCACGCACGTATGGTTGTGCAAAAAGGCCCAAAGCACCAATTAATGTTGACTTTATTGACATATATTCATGTCCAGTAATAATTGCAAGTGTTTAGTGTTTGTTATCGTGGTCATCTTTCTTTTACCCACCCCAAAAAGGTAAAAACAGAAGAACCCCTTCACCTAAATTCCCAATAATGATCTCAGGGGGCAAATTTCTATGATTACATTATGGTTTATACGTCACACTCGAAATAATTAGTAATTCTAATAATAACCATGACAATATATATATGAATGGGAAATCCGAACAAAAAAAGGAGTTAGGAGTTGACGAGATTGATTAAAGTGAATAAAGTTGGGGAGTGGATTAGGCCAGTAACTCTATGGTCAGTAACTATCAGTAACCTGTCCACATTAGCATGACATCAGTAGCCTCTCTCTTCTGGAAAGTCTTTTATCTTTTTCCCTTTAATCTTTAACGGACGATTTCTCTCTCGTTTTAAGTAGAAATTTAATTTTTTTGCACAGATAAATCAGATTAAATATGCTCTTCAAAATGATATCCACTTTGATATATTTTTAGTACAAAAAAAATTGAATAATTTTTTACTAGTCATTACCATAGTGGTATGCTCCAATTTAATACCATATGGTAAGAAAGCGTACCATGATGGTATGAACCTACCAATATGGTAAGAAGGTTGAATACATGATAGTAGAAGTATATTAACTGTCATTTATGACTTTCATCATTGTTTACTACAAGTTACCACAAGTTACCAATCACATACCATATAGTGGTAAAGTATGGTAATTTTTTATCCAGTAATTTTTTCACCCAGAAATTTATAGATTCAATAGATCATGATGAACTCGTTTCTTCTGAGCAAACGTTTTCAAAAACGACTTAAAAACAAAGAAGTTACCATATGGTATGTAGTTGGTAAAAAAAAAACAGTTTCTCAAAATATATTGAAAATTGATCGCATTTTGTAGAGCACAATGAACTCGTTCCATCTGTGCAAAAAAAATTGAAATCCGAGTTAGAACGAAGAAGATAAGAGCCAATTAAGAAAACTAGGAAAAATAAAATGTCTTTAATTGACAACCCTTAGATCTGAATTTTCTAGATCCACTTAAATCTAAAGATTCAGATTTAGTTACTCATAGGTTAGTAACCATTGGTTACTGATCCTATCCTAAGCCATAAAGTTGTGCTACTATAGACGAGATTAAAGTAACGAATTCTTAAGTTATTTTTAAATTTTGAAACCCAACAATTTGAAACCGAATTACCCACAATGGCGGCAATTGAGAATTATTTTCCGATGAACGAGAAGACAATAGTTAGAAATAACCACTACCAACAAAAAAAAAAAAAAATTCAACCTACTAACAAACCACCCTACAAAATCAAAAGAACCTAAGCTAACTTTTAATAGAGAGAGCAACAGGACTTTACGTGCCACTTCATGAGCAGTCCAGTTGCAGTTCGCGGAACCACTCTAAAGTTTATACAATGAGAAGTGAGAAATACTAGTGAAATAAACATAGACCGGTTTAATTGGAGACATCTAATATTAAATGACATGCTTGCTGGTAAGATACTTGAAATTAGTACAAAAGTTGAAGCATAGATAAGAAGTTTCCCAGATGATTATTCTCTTGTAGATTTGAAAAATTCTCTACACATTTATTTACCTTATTTGACTTTCTCGATAGAGATTTCCGTCTTTCGTTCAAACTCTAGGTTCACTTTGCTTTTTATTCCATAATTGTCTTGTGATTGAGGAGTTTTGTGGCAGTAGATAATTTTTCGAAAGCGGTCTTCCGTTTCTATAAAAAACAGGTATAAGTTAATGTAAATGTGTCATTTAATCGATTATTTATTGGAAGCGGTCGACCTCTTGATGAAAACGATAAATTAGCTTCCTGAGGTTGTAACACTTTCAAGGAAGCAATATACCATTTGCCGAAAGAAGTTTACCGATTGACAGAAGCAATTAATCATTTTTTTCAAATCACAACAACTTATAACTTAAAAGTCACGATAAACATACCCAAAACTTTGTGCTCGAAACAAGGTAAAATAGAAGAGCTGGTCGACACAGAAGTACGTAACTCATTGTCGTACCAGGCTTGGCCTTCAAATTTTAGAACGTAAAATTGGTGGATTTAAAACAATCAAGTGTGGGCTACAAACAACTAAGGTTTTCTGAGTGGGCCAAAATGTAACTTGAGCCCAATTAAAGGAAGAAGACGGTCGTCAATTTGGTTTGGTTTGGCAAATGGGAATTTAAATCCCTAATTCTGTAAAAAATCATCAACAGAGCTTTTCCGCCAAAATCTTCAACAGAGCTAATTTCTGGGCACGCCATTTCGATTTTAGAAGAAGAAAAGTGGATTTCACCAAAAAAAGAAGAAAGGGGCAAGAGGGTCGAGTTCGCGGTTCACAACTTCCTCTGCCGGCGGCGCTGTGATTCCGCCGCTGCAATGGCTTTGAACAGGTGGCGGCTTCTCCTACTTCTCAAGTCTTAACAGTTCCCTGCTCCTGAATTCTTCGACTGTCGGCGATGGTCGTAATCAGATATGATAAAAGGCAAGCCCGTGGCTCTCTTCCAATGTTTCAGAACGGGCAGCAGAAAATTAATGGCGACTTCAGTTGCTACCCTGGACCATCCTCCTCCTTCATTCGCTACTCTCCCAACTGACCGTAAGTCACTTAGCTTCGAGTTAGCCGACAATCTCCTTAGTCGTGGCCTATATTCCTCTGCTCAGCAAGTCATTCAGAGAATCATCAGTTCCTCCACTACTCTCGCTGACGCGATTTCTGCAGCTGATTTCGCTGCTGGACGCGGCGTGGAGCTCAGTCTGCATTGCTATTATGTGCTTATTAGGAGAGTCATGGGCTTTGGTGATTTTCAATTCGCTCGGGCAATTTACTTTCACGGAATAGTTGATAGAGGGCTTGAGCCGGACTCGAATATTGTAAACTCCGTGATAGTTTGTCTGGCGAAATTGGGAGATTTGGAGGGGGCACTGGTTCTCTTTGACCGGCTTTGGGACAAGGGTTGGATGCCCTGTGAAGCCGCCGGTGATACAGTTCTCAGAGGGTTATATGAGCAGAAGCGGTTTCTAGAGGCACTTGTGTACTTCACTAGGATTACGAACTTGAAGGTGCATGTGGGTTTCTGGTGTTTTAATATCTTGATCGATGGTTTGTGTAAACAGGGCCATCTTGTTGAAGCATTGAAGGTGTTCGATGTAATGCGAGACAGGACTGGCTTGCCGCCGACTGTCCATTTGTTGAAGTCACTATTTTTTGGGTTTTGCAAGAAGGGAATTTGTGTGGATGCAGAGAGGGTTTGTCGAGAAATGGAAGAACATGGTTTCTTTGTGGATGCAGTAATGTATTCTTCCCTAATAAACGCTTACTGCAAGCATAATGATCTGAGAATGGCAATAATGGTTTTTTTCCGGATGCTGAAGATGGGATGTGAACCAGATAAGTACACTTACACCACGTTGATTCAAGGATTTCTGAAGATGGGGTATCCTGATAAAGGATTGATTATGTACAACCAGATGTTAGACTTAGGCATGCAGCCTGATTTAGTTACTGCCCAGAGTATTATTAGTGGTTACTGTCAGAACGGAAAGGTGGATTCTGCTATGGAGTTTTTGGATAGCATGGCCCGCTCTAGTTTGGTTCCAAGTGTCCACAATTATACGTCATTGCTTTCAGCACTGTACAAGCAGAACAGGTTTTCCAATGCTAAGGTATTGTTCAGAAACATGTTAGACCGAGGAGTTATCCCTGACCATGTCACTTTCCTAATTCTCATGAAAAATCTCCCGAAGGGGCAGGAACTTGAACTTGCTTTCTTCATCTTAAGGGCAATTGCCAGAAATGGATGTAGGTTAGATCCTTGCTTGCTCTCTGTTTCTCCTGAGATATGCTCTACTGTGGATTTACAGTATGAAATTGAAATTATACTGTTGGAAATTGTGAGATCAAATTGCAATCTGGCAAATGTGTCTTTTGGCATCTACATTAGTGCCTTGTGCGAGAGTGGAAAGTTTGAAGCTGCTTTGGCTTCTTTTGAAACGCTCAGGGGACTTGGCTGCCGTCCGTTGCCTTTCACCTTCAATTCATTGATCAAGGGACTTTGCAAGCATGGGTTACGCCAGGAAGTTAAGTATTTGCTTGGTATTATGCAAAAACACGAAATTGTTCCAGACTTCGCAACTTTCTTGATACTAGTGAGAGAGTTCTGCACACAAAATGACTTGACATCTGCTTTTGATGTTTTAGATGAGATGAAGCAGTGTGGAATCAAGCCTACTGTAGCTATTTATGATTGTATCATTGGTTGTTTAACTAAAGGAGGCAAAATGTCTGAAGCTGAAACTTGGTTCATGAAGATGATTGAGACTGGTTTGGATCCCGATGAAATGATTTGTGTCACTATGATCAATGGTTACTTCAGGAATAAACAATCTCAGAAAGCCTTATCCCTGTTTGATGTTATGGTGAAGAATGGGATCCAACCTACTAGATTTTCTTATAATGCCTTGATGAAGGGGCTAGTCAAGAACAAAATGGCTCGTGAGGGATGGATATATCTTCATAAATTGGTGGTGTCGAATGGCCCGTCCCCTGATTTTCGGCTGTACACTTCTCTAGTCAACCGGTTTTTCAGGAAGAGATAAATTGTATTTTCATCTACCCTGGTCGTTCATAGAAATGGGTTCATTGTTGTGCTTGATACGATGATATAGTGAGGATAAAACCGTAACATATCACGAAGCAAGCTTTCAGTTAGACATACCTTATGGCTTCATAGGTCCCTGTTCCCTTGATTGGTAAGCATACTTCTTGCACAGTTAGTTCTGGTAATATAATATGGCTGCCGTACTGTGAAACCAACCATTGATATATGACAATTTGCTGTGTCTATGGAATTGCAGCATGTGCATTGACAGCTGTGATGAGGGCTCATGATGGACGTGGACCACAGACAACTTACAAAATTAGATGCTGAAGGCTCTAGGCTTTTCTTCTCCTGATGAAATCATAAGGTATTGCTTGCTAGTCATTCTCTAGTATGCTGTAAAAACTAAGTACCCGTGAACGTAGAGGTTTTCTGTCATGAAATAGGAGTTCACAGGGTTTCTTGTCTCACTTTAATAAAACAGAAAATATATAAAATAACAAATTGGTCTCAGCACTTCTACAAGTTTGAACTCCAGAATTCAGGGTCACAATCTGCTTCTGGTGGAGAAAGGTCATTATTCAGTGCAATTGAACTATACCAGCTTCGATATCCATGTGGGCCAGTCTCGCTCATTTTTTGTCACCATGGATCAGAATGCAAAGTGACTACTATGTTGTGTCGAGCGCCCTATATGTGAATGAAACAGTATGGCAGAGAGTCACTGGTGTTGCTATATTGCACTACTCCAATTCTCACGGACCAGCTGCCAGTCCTCTGCCTGAGGCAGCAAACGATATCTACTACTAGTGGTCTGCCATGAACCTGGCAAAGACCATCAGGTTTGTGCTCTAAACATAACTAATTTCATATGCTTTTTATGTATGAAACGTTTTCCGCTGACTCTTCTCTTTTCCTGTTAATATCGAGTAGGCAAAATACATCTGCAAGTGGGCTAGGCCAAATCCACAGGGCTTGTTTAACTATGTGCAGATCAATATTGCTGACACATACATTTTAAGGAGCTTGCCACCAGTTTCAATCAATGGGAAGAAGCGCATCACTCTAAACTGAATATCTTTTCGGAACCCGGATACCCGAATCAGGCTTGCTGATCTATACAAGGTGAAGGGAGCATACAAGCTTGATTCACAAGTGCTAACTGCTACTTACAAGGGTTGCATCGAGATCATACTGTTGTAACACTGAGAACATCACTCTTGCACCGTTTTCTTGCCCCCACACCCACACCACTTTGTTGAGTGGGACAAACTGCAGTATGGACTGGGCAATATGGTAAGAGAGCAATAGGAATGTATATAACAACTGGGACGCCATTTCTCGCTCCATTATTGAGGTTGGCTTGCTTGCTTTTAAACTCATGAAGGATTTTAATTTGCAATGAAATGTCAAGTCTGTCTCTGTGTCATGATGTTTGATCTAATCAATATGTGCAGGTGCATCCTGGAGCATGGACCGCTGTTCTTGCATCCCTGGATAATGTGGGTGTATGAAGCTTGAGAGTGGAGAATCTGAACAATGTGGGTGTTCTGAAATAGGCGTTCATGCAGTTTCTTGTTTAACTTTATAGTTTGGTGACTCGAACAAAATGCTGTCATGGTTGTTCCTTTTGCAAGTGAAGTTTCTTGACCTCCATTTCTTCAGTTTATTTCTTATGACTAGAGCATTCTGTTAATTGTAGATTCTGGAGCTGCTAACCCCTTCATGGTCTGTTGTGCTCATTGGTTTTTGGAGAGTAAACATTTTCCCAAATGCTGAAGGATTTGATTAAATGAACTAATGCTAGCATTTCTCCCCTCTGTGATATATTTAGGTTGACTTATACAGATCCATCTTGAGCACGCATTGCAGGCTGCAGCTCTTGTCCCGGAAGTGGTATCTTGTGCAGAAGGTTCGGATGAAGTTGCGCAGAAGATCCTTGTCAATGGGGTACAGGAATTGGCATTAAGTGCGAAGGCAGTTGTTTAACGGCTGCGGTGAAGGTATTTAGTATTCTGTAACTTAGTGATCTATATTAACTCGTAATATCGAACGTGGTACAGTTTCAATGACTTATATATCGATGCAATGTTCAAATGACAAATGGTCCATTAATAACAAAACATATCATCTTTATATACAATCATTTCAGGCCTTTACAAGTTACAACAAGTATCTTCACAAATTTCCCCGAAAATCAAACAGAACTACGAGTACAAGATGAAATTACAGAATCCAGGAACTGACAAATGCGACTCTCAGTTTTTTTGCAGGCTGTGCAGAACAGAGTTACTAAAGACCAGAGTTGAATGGGACACCTGTAGCTGGAAGCCACGACCTTCCCGCTATGAAGTTGTCAACAGTAAACCTCGACGCTTCAGCCGCACTCCTGATGACCCTGTAACCCCGCCATTTCACCCTCCGACCCGTCGGAGCTCCAGGACCCGTGTTCCCATACTCGCCGTAGTACAGAGTGTTCAACGCAAAGTCCCCGTCCCACTCGAGCCAGCCCGCCGGATCAACCAGCGAGTCGAGGTACGTCCTCATGAACACAACGCGGGAGTACTTCCTCCAGGGCCTGCCCAAGAACGTCCTGAACGATCCGACCACCGGTTTCAGGTCCGCGGCAGCCAGGACCCGAGAGTTGTGGATCGAGATGCCCGTGTTCTCGTTCGTGTCTGTCCTGCCCTGCGCCGTGATCGTGATCTTCTGGCTCTTCATCGGCCGCCTCGCGTAGATCATGCAGTTCTGGAGGACGGCGGCGGCGTTGCCGAAGATGAAGTCCACCGTGCCGTAGATGTAGCACTCTCTGTAGAACTGGCGTTGGGAGTGGACGTAGAGCGTGTCCTGGTATCCCTCGATGCTGCATTGGTAGAATACCGACCGGTCGGAGTCCGATCGGAGGGCCACCGCCTGGTGGTTCTGTGGACCGGCGGTGTTGCGGAAGGTGATGCCGCGGGCGATGAATCCGGCGCCGTTCACCGCTGCAATTGTGTGCGGGCGGATGGGTTAGGTGACAGGGTTTTCTTAATCCGAAGTGGAAGAGGATTATGTCACGGTCAGGTTTTTCATTCCATTGACATTTTGTAATTAATGTGTTTCGTGCTGCTCCAATAAAAAGACATAAATATGTTTCTTGTTGAGTTATAGAAAGGCAGTAGCCCAAGTACCTAAAACATTATTTGTTAAATTCCTGTGGAAGTCTAAATGTCTAATCATAACTTGTTTTCTTTTTAAAGAAATGAAAGAGATTAGGAGACCATTCCTCAAGAATTATAAAATTAACTAGTTTCATCAACAAAAACAATTGTGGACCGCTAAAACCCCAACCAAGTTTAGTTTGGTTAAGCAAATTATGCATCGATAAAATGAATAGGAATTCTAATAACTGTGAAACTGAAGCCAGAAATATATTTTATACCAATTTATTACGAGTCACTTTATACGACTAGTGTTTACTCTAAGGAGTTGTAATGAAGCAGCTCATGATTTTGCTATTTATTTGTAATTTGAAAGTAGCGGATTAACCATACTGATTGACTATTATATGATTTTTTGAACTTATAGAGTAGATTACTACACATATTTCATGGTCTACCTTAAGAATCCTTTTAATAAAAATCGTCATATTTACCACAACAAAATATCACAATCCCTTTAAGGAGAAACAATACTTGAAATTTAAATATATCTTTCACATTGTGTATCCATAATTATTATTGAGAGTCATAAAAAGTTACAAACAAGGATTTTCAATAAAACCTCTTATAATATATAAGTAGCTAGTTCATCTTAATGATTAAATTTTTAGCTTAGATATAAGTAACATTCCATTTAATAGCTATGATATTTTTGTTTTTTTTTATAATTATGATATATATTTATTTTATTATAAGATGTTATTTAAAATATTCGAACTTGAAACCTCCAGATTGAAAATCAATAATAGTAATAACTAAACCAAATTCTTAGTTTGTTATGACATTATATCACCATTTTAAATGAATGATTTTGAATATTATTACTTAATTACTAAAAAATTTCAGTGAATAACATAAGTTTTCTTCCTCCGAAGAGAATATTAGAGTTATGACTTGTGATTGTGACAATTAATTTAGGCAACAAAACACTTATCCACGCACAAAATTCATTACCGAAAACCCATTTCGCTTACCAAACGTCGCAGACCGGAAAGTAGTAGACCCACCGCCGACGCTCCGGCTGCCGGTAATAACAGTGTTCCTCATCCCATCTCCGACCAGCATCACGTTCTTCAACCCGCTCCCCACCTCCACATTCTCCTTATACACCCCTCTCTTCACCCTTATCACAAACCTCCGGGCACCTCCCCTCTTCCCCGCCGCCTTGACCGCCTCCGCCACCGTCCTGAAATCCCCCGACCCGTCCTTCGCCACCACAACATCCGCCGCCGGCGACTGCAGCAGCCTCCTCCTGTCCCCGGCGTTGACCCAGCCCGGAAACCCGTCCCTGTACTCACCACGCGGCGGGTCAAAGTCCTCTCCGCCGCCGCCGCCGGTCACGGCGAGGGCGTTGCTGAGCAGCTTGGAGACGTTGTTGTTGGTCATCATCGGGAGGAGGCGGTGGGCGGGGCCCGACAACCCGAGGTCTCGAAACCCGGCCCGACACGTGTCGAGGCTGGTCAGCGCGGCGCTGAGCCAGGTCCTGGCGTCGGAGTCGGTGGATTTGGGCTCGGTTAGGGTGGCGTTGAGGTGGCGGACGGCGGCGGTGTAGAGGTCCATGCAGTCGGCCCATGCGGCCTTTTCTTTGCGGGTGCGGCACTTCGTTCCGAGTTGTTTGTTGTGGGCCTGGGCCGTCATGGCCCGGCCCATGGCGAGTTGGATGGCGGTTTTGCGGAAGGCTAAGGAAGAGGTGACGACGGTAGCGGGTTGCGGGTTTTGGGCCACGAGGAAGTGGTTGCACGGGTCCGGGTTCGGGGTTTGGTCGCACCACCATTTGACGTCGTGGTGATTGCCGTCTGTTGTTGTGGCGGAAAGAGAAGGGGAGAAGAAGAGTGAAGAGATGAAGCAGAAGAGAAATGTGAAGAGGGGAACCAATGGGAGATTTGTGGCCATTGTTATTAGTGAGAAGAAGTGAAGGTTTGTGTTTATGTATTTATATGTGAAGGAAAGGATAGCGTATTGGGTTGGGATATAGGAAAGTAGCTGGTTTATGAAAATGTCAACAAGATTTTTATGTATTTTTGTTTGGGGATTTTATCTCGACGATGAATAACAACTAGGGATAATGAGAGTAGATGCTTGAAGAGAGATTATGAGGTTTGAGCAAGAATTAGAAGAGAATTTGGAAGAAAGGGATTAGAATAGGAAGAGGATAATAGAGATTAAAGAGATTATAGAAGAATATCGATGATTCGTCTAATGATTTGATGAGGGAAATTTATGGCAGAACTATTTATCATAACACTTAGGAATTGTGACGACAATAACCTTATAGTCATCATTATACTCAATGACTTGATCGAATATATATTCTACAAACTAATGCATGTGGACGGTTCAAACATTGAGTTTTCTTTAATGAGATGTTATGTATACTAGGGCTGGGAATTTAGACCAAACCTTATGACAAACCGCGGTTTAGACCGTACCGTACGGTTTGGTCCGGACCGTTAGACCATGAATACAATTTGGTCTGGTCCATGGTTTGCCTCTTTCACTTGTGGTCTGGAACGGTTTGGTCTGGTCTAGACCGTGGTTAACCGTCCAGACCGTGACAAAATTAACTATGGGCTGAGCCCAACTAGGCAGCCAGACATTTCAATGGGCCAAAGCCCAGTTTCATTCTCCCACAGCCAACCACAGCCCTAGCTGCGTGCCTGCTTCCCCATCCTCCAGCATTTCGGCTGCTGCGTGCGCCGTGCTTCCCCATCCTGCAGCCCCGTCGCAACTCGCTCGAAGTGAGAAGGGAGAAGGAAAACTCGCTGCCCTGCTACGATTGAAAACTAGACCACCATCATAATCCTCCATTAACAACCATCCTTCTACTTCTTCCCAGTACAACAAATCCTTCTACTTCTTCGAAGAACAACAAAACCTTCTCGTTGAATCGCTGCAATACGTCACTGCTGCTTGCGGCTCTCATGGCTCCGTGCCTCGCCGACTTTGGCGGATTCAGAGGTCGATGACCAGACACTGTAAATTAAACTGAAGCGACATAAAAGTCTGAGATTGCAATTGATTGACGAGACAACTCACCTGAAATTGGATACAGAGTGCGACGGCCGACTTTGCAGCCCCAATCCCAATCGTCGCCTCGCCTCCCGTCTCCGATTATCCATCATTCGCCCCGCCGTTGTTTGTCTCCATCGCCTTCCACCATAGCCATCGACCTCCACCATCCTTCTCTTCTCAGGCTGCTCCATCACCATCGACCTTTAACATTGGATAATACAGGTTTTGTTGAACATGGTCTACTCGGTCCAGATCGTACCGGACCGCACCGCACAGGCGTGGTCTGGTCTGGACCGTATAGGTTATGGTCTGGTCTATGGTCTCTGTTCTACCCTCACGGTCTGGACCGCAGACCATGTATATGATCTGGACCAGACCGCACCGTTTCCCAGCCCTAATGTATACTAACAAAGGATGTGTTGCTCAATGGACAATGTGTGTGCCTGATCAATCGATAGAATGAATAATTTAAAGAGAATGAAAAGAAAAGAACGACAACGCTCTAGAAGTCATGAATACTCGACTCCGAAATCGACTCACCATGTAACAAGCCAACATATGTGCCCAACCCTAATACTCAATTAAGTTCCTGATAGCAAAAACTCATATTGTAAACTCTCAAATCACTATTTGTACACTTACCAAAAACACACTCAATTTCCTCTAACCCAGACCATCTTATACATAAGACTCTCACAACGCATTTAGAATCCCCAAAAAGCTCTTTGTTTCCGTCCCAACAAGATAAACAAAGAAACTACATGCAAACTAACACAGTGAAATCATAGAAAGGATACTACCTAATCATACCATATCATGCTCCCCGAAAAAAATTCCTAAAAAAAATTCGCGACGAAATAATGAAAAAGAACTCATTTCACACCTTATGAGTGGGCTTAAAATGAATCATATAGTTGTACCAAAAGCGATATACCAGACAATGTTACTCAGAAAGATAGAATTTATCCTCTAATGAAAATGACAATCCATTCGATTTTGCTTTTTTTAATTAAATGATGATCGAACGGGGAAGTGCCCAATGACCTCTTTTGCTTTCTTAATTAAATGATGATCCTATGGGGAGGAGCCCTAATTAACTAATTACATGCACACACTTCAATATCATCAATCAGATTGTGTTTGAGTTTCAACTTGCCTTTTACATCTAGCTAATTAATCAGTCTAGCTACTAGATATGTTAATCATATCATCATTTTAAGCTTCCGGTACAAAAAAAATGTTTAGTTTCTATTGGAAGTTGGTAAGAAGAATGCTGGTAGCCCAAATATGTGGAAGTTATACACTATTCACAGAAAATTATGTTGTTAAGATAGCTTTGCTACGTCGTTTTGGATTAGATATAGCTTTTTCCATATCTTCTGGACGTCTAATTTTTGTTTGGGTTAAAGTTGGCAAGTAATTGCAAAGAAACAAAAAGGATGATAACAACGGTCATGTTGCAAATGTATTTCTTGTTGTACAAAGCAAAAACCAAATATGGGAAACTATGTTGTATACTCAAGTCAATTATGATAAATTGAACATAGGTATCCTACTAATTTTGATTACATTAATATATTCCCATAAGTTATTGGTTTGGTTGCACATAGAAATAGCGATGGGGATTAAGTGTAGGTTGGGCGGGGTTTTGTGCGAAAATTCACCACCCATAATTAAGTAGGTAAATAGAAATACAATCCGCTCTCACTCAAATATACAACGGTGGGTATGAGTTGAGTGGGTTAATGCGGTTCACGAGTAGTTTAGGATCGGTAAAATTATTTTTGTAAAAATAAAAAACAAACCTAAATCATAATAAATTCGTAAACAAACTTCAATAGAACAAAATCCATAAAGAAAATGTAAGTTCCTACCGACAATTTTATTGATTGATGTTGACATTCGTGGGTCTTTTTCAGTTCCTTCTTATGATGGATACAATTAATTATGTAATATAGTAGATGATTATTCACATGTTGTTTGGGGTTTATCTGAATGCAACACAAAAACGAAACCACAAAATTGCTTAAATGGTTCTATAGTTTGGTTAAAGCTAGTTTGGTATAACTGTTTGAAGATTCAAAGTGATCAAGGTAAGCAACTCAATATGTGGGATTCAACCCGTAAAAAAAATGTGTGATTCTTACACGGACGAAGGCATTCAACATCAAATGTCATGTATAATACACTAATATAGAGTGCAGGAGTGCATAAAAAACACGAACACCTTCTCAATGTGATTAGGTCTCTCAGATTCATGAATACTATTTCTCTAAGATATTAAAGTGATTGCATCCTTAAGAAACAGATTACATGCCCCAATTTTGCATTATCATTTCCATATGAAGTTTTATACAAGAAACCACCATTTCTTGGACATTTGAGGGTTTTTTTTTAATTAGGAGCTTGGTTTATGCTAACACATTGGTATAACACCGAGCGATCATAGTATGATCGAAGGCCTATCGGCTTGTGGTTCTACGGACCTGCGGTGTTCCAGAAGGTGATGCCTCGGCGACGAATCCAACGCCGTTCACCACTGCAAAATCCATAGCCTTGTGGTGGATCCATGGATGGGTTTGTGCGAAGATAAGACTGAGGTTTCTTGCGCATATAGATAGTTTCAGAAAACAATTTTGCGTGCCCAAGTCTAGGCATGAGAAACAGCTTCCTTGAGAGGGTCAAAGTTTTGAGATTCAGAAGCTATATAATCAACACGTTAATAATTAAACTAATGAGTTTTCCATGGTAGCTAATGTTATGCATTTCTGTTTCTGTTACTTTGAAAAGTCTACACTTGGGAACATTCTGGACCTTATCAAAATCTGAGTTAGGTGCCAGGTTTCTATTTTCTATATATGTCCAAAGTTGGAAGAGAATTAGCTTTTATTCATGTTCTTTTCTTTTTGAACTTTTAAATTAAAGTTAGGTTCTTGATTCCTTTGACATTTGTCATTAATAATATTGTTCCTTGTTGTGTTATGCAAGGTAGGAGCTATAATATTATTGATAAATTCCTTGATGAAGTTTAATCACTTAACTTGATTTTTTCCCCGGTTCTAAAATCATTTAAATGGTTCAATAGAAAAGTGAGTAAGCTTAGCCTTATCTACAGAAACCGAAATGAGATTTTGGATATCTTTGCTCAATAATTAATTTGACAATTATATATTCTCATAAACAAGATATAATAATGGAGAATTGTTAAAATTGCACCCAAATTGCACTTGCCAATGAGAATTATGCATCAACGCTTGTACGTCAAATACGTGGAGCTTGTACGTCGTTTGAATTAGATAGTTTTTGTCTTTTGATAACCCCCTAGATGGGTGGTTTTGAATCAGAGAAGCACAGCTAGATTCAATCCAAAGTTTGAATCAAAAACTCTGTAATGGAGAACACAAAACAGAGTTTGAGTTTGTGTTTGGGATGGTGATTTCGTGCAACCTTCTCGAAGAGAAGAGAGACTCGAAAACTTAGGGTAGATGCTTGGCCACGAACAGTGGGACTAACTGAATGATACAAGCCAGAAAACCCACATAGATTCAACTAGGAAGTCCTCCAAATTCACAAAGCAAGATGCTATGGAACTCAACCTAACGGTTTATTCAATTCAACTCAAAAAACTGAAGATTACAACAAATCAAAGCTACTTAAATAGACCTAGCTAGTCCTAACACTCTTAGAAAAGTTCTTACTAGAGTCTACTAGGAAAAAGGAATCCAAAAGCAACAACAAAAAGGAATTAAACACAAACAGTCTCCTATCCTAATCCTAGAAGGATTCGGATTTGCTGAATTCCAAAGACAAAAACCTTGTCCTAGATACGATCTTTGGAGCCTTCGTTCGAGCCCTTCCTGGTACCCCTCTGATCAACCAAT